GTCTCAGTGATTAACACTGAACCCTATGGGAGTCTCAGTGATTAACACTGAACCCTATGGGAGTCTCAGTGATTAACACTGAACCCTATGGGAGTCTCAGTGATTAACACTGAACCCTATGGGAGTCTCAGTGATTAACACTGAACCCTATGGGAGTCTCACTGATTAACACTGAACCCTATGGGAGTCTCAGTGATTAACACTGAACCCTATGGGAGTCTCAGTGATTAACACAGAACCCTATGGGAGTCTCAGTGATTAACACTGAACCCTATGGGAGTCTCAGTGATTAACACTGAACCCTATGGGAGTCTCAGTGATTAACACTGAACCCTATGGGAGTCTCAGTGATTAACACTGAACCCTATGGGAGTCTCAGTGATTAACACTGAACCCTGTGGGAGTCTCACTGACTAACACTGAACCCTATGGGAGTCTCAGTGATTAACACTGAACCCTATGGGAGTCTCAGTGATTAACACTGAACCCTATGGGAGTCTCAGTGATTAACACTGAACCCTGTGGGAGTCTCAGTGATTAACACTGAACCCTATGGGAGTCTCAGTGATTAACACTGAACCCTATGGGAGTCTCAGTGATTAACATTGAACTTTATGGGAGTCTCACTGATTAACATTGAACCCTATGGGCGTCTCAGTGATTAACACTGAACCCTATGGGAGTCTCAGTGATTAACACTGAACCCTATGGGAGTCTCAGTGATTAACACTGAACCCTGTGGGAGCCTTAGTCTGGCTCTATGAGCCTCAGTGATTAACACTGAACCCTATGGGAGTCTCAGTGATTAACACTGAACCCTATGGGAGTCTCAGTGATTAACACTGAACCCTATGGGAGTCTCAGTGATTAACACTGAACCCTGTGGGAGTCTCACTGATTAACACTGAACCCTATGGGAGTCTCACTAATTAACACTGAACCCTGTGGGAGTCTCAGTGATTAACACTGAACCCTATGGGAGTCTCAGTGATTAACACTGAACCCTATGGGAGTCTCAATGATTAAAACTGAACCCTATGGGAGTCTCAGTGATTAACACTGAACCCAATGGGAGTCTCAGTGATTAACACTGAACCCAATGGGAGTGTCAGTGATTAACACTGAACCCTATGGGAGTCTCAGTGATTAACACTGAACCCTATGGGAGTCTCAGTGATTAACACTGAACCCTATGGGAGTCTCACTGATTAACACTGAACCCTATGGGAGTCTCAGTGATTAACACTGAACCCTATGGGAGTCTCAGTGATTAACACTGAACCCTATGGGAGTCTCAGTGATTAACACTGAACCCTATGGGAGTCTCAGTGATTAACACTGAACCCTATGGGAGTCTCAGTGATTAACACAGAACCCTATGGGAGTCTCAGTGATTAACACTGAACCCTATGGGAGTCTCAGTGATTAACACTGAACCCTATGGGAGTCTCACTGATTAACACTGAACCCTATGGGAGTCTCAGTGATTAACACTGAACCCTATGGGAGTCTCAGTGATTAACACTGAACCCTATGGGAGTCTCAGTGATTAACACTGAACCCTGTGGGAGTCTCAGTGATTAACACTGAACCCTATGGGAGTCTCAGTGATTAACACTGAACCCTATGGGAGTCTCAGTGATTAACACTGAACCCTATGGGAGTCTCAGTGATTAACACTGAACCCTGTGGGAGTCTCAGTGATTAACACTGAACCCTATGGGAGTCTCAGTGATTAACTCTGAACCCTATGGGAGTCTCAGTGATTAACATTGAACTTTATGGGAGTCTCACTGATTAACATTGACCCCTATGGGCGTCTCAGTGATTAACACTGAACCCTATGGGAGTCTCAGTGATTAACACTGAACCCTATGGAAGTCTCAGTGATTAACATTGAACTTTATGGGAGTCTCACTGATGAACACTGAACCCTATGGGAGTCTCAGTGATTAACACTGAACCCTATGGGAGTCTCAGTGATTAACATTGAACTTTATGGGAGTCTCACTGATGAACATTGAACCCTATGGGAGTCTCAGTGATTAACACTGAACCTTATGGGAGTCTCAGTGATTAACATTGCACCCTATGGGCGTCTCAGTGATTAACACTGAACCCTGTGGGAGTCTCAGTGATTAACACTGAACCCTATGGGAGGCTCGGTGATTAACACTGAACCCTATGGGAGTCTCAGGGATTAACACGGAACCCTGTGGGAGTCTCGGTGATTAACACTGAACCCTGTGGGAGTCTCAGTGATTAACACTGAACCCAATGGGAGTGTCAGTGATTAACACTGAACCCTATGGGAGTCTCAGTGATTAACACTGAACCCTATGGGAGTCTCAGTGATTAACACTGAACCCTATGGGAGTCTCAGTGATTAACACTGAACCCTATGGGAGTCTCAGTGATTAACACTGAACCCTATGGGAGTCTCAGTGATTAACACTGAACCCTATGGGAGTCTCAGTGATTAACACTGAACCCTATGGGAGTCTCAGTGATTAACACTGAACCCTATGGGAGTCTCAGTGATTAACACTGAACCCTATGGGAGTCTCAGTGATTAACACTGAACCCTATGGGAGTCTCAGTGATTAACACAGAACCCTATGGGAGTCTCAGTGATTAACACTGAACCCTATGGGAGTCTCAGTGATTACCACTGAACCCTATGGGAGTCTCAGTGATTAACACTGAACCCTATGGGAGTCTCAGTGATTAACACTGAACCCTATGGGAGTCTCAGTGATTAACACTGAACCCTGTGGGAGTCTCAGTGATTAACACTGAACCCTATGGGAGTCTCAGTGATTAACACTGAACCCTATGGGAGTCTCAGTGATTAACACTGAACCATATGGGAGTCTCAGTGATTAACACTGAACCCTGTGGGAGTCTCAGTGATTAACACTGAACCCTATGGGAGTCTCAGTGATTAACACTGAACCCTATGGGAGTCTCAGTGATTAACATTGAACTTTATGGGAGTCTCACTGATTAACATTGAACCCTATGGGCGTCTCAGTGATTAACACTGAACCCTATGGGAGTCTCAGTGATTAACACTGAACCCTATGGGAGTCTCAGTGATTAACACTGAACCCTGTGGGAGCCTTAGTCTGGCTCTATGAGCCTCAGTGATTAACACTGAACCCTATGGGAGTCTCAGTGATTAACACTGAACCCTATGGGAGTCTCAGTGATTAACACTGAACCCTATGGGAGTCTCAGTGATTAACACTGAACCCTGTGGGAGTCTCAGTGATTAACACTGAACCCTATGGGAGGCTCGGTGATTAACACTGAACCCTGTGGGAGTCTCAGTGATTAACACTGAACCCTATGGGAGTCTCAGTGATTAACACTGAACCCTATGGGAGTCTCAGTGATTAACATTGAACCCTATGGGAGTCTCAGTGATTAACACTGAACCCAATGGGAGTGTCAGTGATTAACACTGAACCCTATGGGAGTCTCAGTGATTAACACTGAACCCTATGGGAGTCTCAGTGATTAACACTGAACCCTATGGGAGTCTCAGTGATTAACACTGAACCCTATGGGAGTCTCAGTGATTAACACTGAACCCTGTGGGAGCCTTAGTCTGGCTCTGTGAGTCTCAGTGATTGACACTGAACCCTATGGGAGTCTCAGTGATTAACACTGAACCCTATGGGAGTCTCAGTGATTAACACTGAACCCTAAGGGAGTCTCAGTGATTAACATTGAACCCTATGGGAGTCTCAGTGATTAACATTGAACCCTATGGGAGTCTCAGTGATTAACACTGAACCCTATGGGAGTCTCAGTGATTAACACTGAACCCTGTGGGAGTCTCAGTGATTAACACTGAACCCTATGGGAGTCTCAGTGATTAACATTGAACCCTATGGGAGTCTCAGTAATTAACACTGAACCCTATGGGAGTCTCAGTGATTAACACTGAACCCTGTGGGAGTCTCAGTGATTAACACTGAACCCTATGGGAGTCTCAGTAATTAACACTGAACCCTGTGGGAGTCTCAGTGATTAACACTGAACCCTATGGGAGTCTCAGTGATTAACACTGAACCCTGTGGGAGTCTCAGTGATTAACACTGAACCCTATGGGAGTCTCAGTGATTAACATTGACCCCTATTGGCGTCTCAGTGATTAACACTGAACCCTATGGGAGTCTCAGTGATTAACACTGAACCCTATGGGAGTCTCACTAATTAACACTGAACCCTATGGGAGTCTCACTGATGAACACTGAACCCTATGGGAGACTCAGTGATTAACACTGAACCCTATGGGAGTCTCAGTGATTAACACTGAACCCTATGGGAGTCTCAGTGATTAACACTGAACCCTATGGGAGTCTCAGTGATTAACACTGAACCCTGTGGGAGTCTCAGTGATTAACACTGAACCCTATGGGAGTCTCAGTGATTAACACTGAACCCTATGGGAGCCTCAGTCTGGCTTTGTGACAACGTAATGACATCATCACGTCACTGGATACATCTTCCTGACGTCATCGCGCACGGTAGCGCGGTGACGTAGGCAAACTTAGCGTCGACCGCAAGCCTGAGAAGATCCGTGTCCCGACGTCACCGCGCACGGCACGCGCGGCGACGTCACGACGCACGGTAGCGCGGTGACGTCAGCCTACCCAACCAACCGCCTTCCAAGACGCCTGTCCCAGACGTCAAGACGCACGGCAGCGCAGTGACGTCACGACGCGAGGCGACGTCACGACGCACGGCAAGCGCGGTGACGTCAGGGCCACTCAAACCGCCTTCCAAGACTCACTGTCCCAGAGACATCACGACGCACGCACGGTAGCACCGTGACGTCACGACGCACCGTTGCGCGGTGACGTCGCCACCTCCGCGCCCACCGCAAAGAACGTCTCGTGACGTCACCACGCACGGTGCAAGCGTGCGACGATGACGTCATCACGCACGGCGCAAGCGGCGACGACCATTACCACCGCGCCGCGATGACG